TCCAACCAGTCCATCCTAAAGGAGATCAGTCCTGGGTGTTCATTGGAAGGACTGATGCTGAAGCTGAAACTCCAATACTTTGGCCACCTGATGCGTAGAGTTGACTCATTGGAAAAGACCCTGATGCTGGGAGGGATTGAGGGCAGGAGGAGAAGGGGATGACAGAGGATGAGATGGCTGGATGGCATCACCGACTCGATGGACGTGTGTTTGAGTAAACTCCGGGAGTTTGTGATGGACAGGGAGGCCTGGCGTGCTGTGATTCATGGGGTCGCAAAGAGTCAGACACGACTGAGCGAATGAACTGAACTGAACTGAGTGGGTGTGAAATAGTATTTCATCTTCATGATCGTGATGCTGATTTGCAGTTCCCTAATGACTAGTGGTATTAGAAAAGACTCTTGAGAGTCCCTTGGACTGCAAGGAGATCCAACCAGTCCATCCTAAAGGAGATCAATCCTGGGTGTTCATTGATTTCCCCCCATCTCTTTCCATTATTAGCTATAATGCACATGTATTGTTTATTTTATAATTAGAGCTGGAGGGTGCTAGCATTAAAGAGAAGTTTTTGAACTCTGTTTTCTGTTAACCAGCAAAAAAAAAAAAAGATGTTGGTATCTGATGTCAGAATTATACAACTGTTGCCAAGGATGTTGCTTGAAAGAGCAGAATGGCTTGGTTAGATTGTCCCCTAAAATATCAGGCCACTCCTTTAGCTATTTCAGGGGTATTTTGTAATTTCTGTGCTTGTCTGGAAGGGTTGAACTGCCAGTCCTGCATATGGGATCTTTGGCCTGGTATGAAATGCACTGACTTCTAAAAAAAATTCATAGCAGTAGTAGTCATAATAGCCAAAAAGTGGAAACAGCCTTAATGCCCATCAGCTGACGAATGGATAAACTAAATGTAGTATAACCATACAGTGGAATACTATTTGGCAATAAAAAGGAATGAAGTACTGATCAGTGCTGCAGCATGAATGAACTTAAAAATACTATACCAGACACAAAAGATCAATTCTGTGGGAATGAAGGTAAAAATGGAAGATGACTGCACTAGGTTTTTCTTTGGGGGATGAAGAAAATGTTCTAAAGTTAAATTTTGGTGATGATCTTATTATAGATGTACTAGAAATCCTTGAACACTTAAAACTGATCAATTTGATGGTGTCTAAACTATAGCTACCTAGGTTAGGATCATAACTCCCCCACTTAAAGCTCTGCTGTACAGTCTTCCCACAGTATCTATAGGGAGTAGATTCCCCTATATTTTGGTATCAAAATCCACAGATGCTCAAGTCCCTTATATAAAATGATTTTGTATTTGCATATAACCTAGGCACATTCCCTCATATACTTTAAATCATCGCTAGATTACGAATAGTAGATAATACAATGTAAATGCTCTGTAACACTTTTAACATCCCCAGAACAGCTACCAGAGGCGCTACCTATGGCTCTTCCTCCTCCTCCCATGCCCTTTTTAAAATTAGTGTTTGAGAAAAGAATTCATCACTGAATTGTCAGCCAAGCCTGAATCGGGCCATCATAACCAATTCAGGATCAGATTTTGGGATGCAGGCTGTGTAGTCACAGCTTTAGGGCAGAATCTCCTATAAACCACTTAATAGTCCAGTTTTGTTAGTTAGGTTTACTTCCAGGAGAAATCTTTGTCCAGAGCAAAGGCATTTGGGCTGCTCAAAGGTCCAGCCAGATACCCTGTTAGAGGCAGCTTTCAGACAGCAGCTCACTGGATTCTGTGCCAGCTCTGATGAGTAGAGGATATCAGACTGGTTAGGTTTTACGGGAATTTGGGATATGGCGTATTTCTTTCATTTTTGGCAGTTGTCACTGTGTTAAATTTATATATAAGGTTAAAAAGAATTTTTTTTTTTGGTCACATTGAATTATTTTCTTTTCCTGTGCAGTGTAAGGCCAGCACTGGTGGACACCGATCTTCATGTTCATTCTGCAAGTGCCCAAGGGAAGGTGAGTGTTGGTAGAGGTGGAGGTGGTAGTTATTATTTTGTACACTGAACATGACAAACTTCTTGCTTTCCTTGGCTTTAAAGAGTGATCATCCCTAAATACAAGTTCATCTGTAAAACTCTTAAAAGTGCAATGTGATAGCTAACTTCGTGTGACCTGTTAGTAAATAGTTTGGGTCTCAGAGTTCCGCCAACAGCAGGAGATGGGTTATGGGCTGCTTAGCCTGGGCAGCTGACCAGAGGTCAGTAGTATGGTTACTTAGAATATTGTTACAGTTTAAGGATATTAGGTTGAGGAAGAGTCTACATGGCATTCGTCCATGTGACCCCTCCATCCCCACTTCTTTGAAGTTATTGGGGATAATTTGCTATTGTTATTGTTTTCTCATTTACATTCTAAACATTTGAGGATCTTAACACAAAAACATTCCTTAAAGTAACAGTAAAAGTATAAACAAGACAAAATCAGGATTGAGGGTATGTTATTTTTATAGAGTGATAAAACTACCAGCTTCTCAGTGATTTGGTTTTAAAGTTAGTTTCTCCTGAGAACCTCTAGGTAAACAACCTTAAGAGTCTGTCAAAGGCATCTGTAACATTAGTCCCATAACAATGACTGTAATGTGCCTCTTTCTGATATTATCCTGTAAGGAAAGCTAGTACCTGACAGTAAAATACAGTTCAGTGCTGGGATCCTGGTAGTCTTATAAAAGACCTCTTTGTTCCAAGGTTAGACTTTAGTGTGCCTCCAAGGAATTTTTTAGGTGGGCTTTTGGCCTGTAGTGGAGATTCTGCTCTCAAGGCAGGGCTATGAAGCAGGTGTTCTGAAAAATCTTTGCGGAGAGGCTGTATATGCTCTAGAGACCAAACCGTCACGTGGGAAGGTGAGTAAATAACTTTCCTTTTGACAAGTGGGAGATTTTTAGCTTGTTGTATTACTCAGGTTAGGCAAAATTGTGTTTTCCCTCCAGAAAGTCATCTTTTCAGTCTGTTCTAACAAATGAATAAATGGTTTATATAAACCCTTGAGCACCATACCACTAAGATGGCTGAAACAGCTTTAAGCTAGAAACATATGTGGCAGACATTCACTAGTCGCCTGTCACCACTGTTAAGTAATCTCTACACTGCTCCCACAGAATGTCTCTTTGAGCCACATGACTTCCCTTAAGAATGAATGAATTGTTAAAAAAAAAAATGCCCCCAGTTAACTGGACACATTATTCTGATATAGAAAGAGATTTGAAATGAATCATTTGTATTTTGAAGGGCATTTACTTGTTACAGTTATTGGCATGTAAATGAGCCTTGTACAGGTAGGTCTCTTCTTACTTTCGCAGAAGACTAGGGTATCTAATCTTACAGAATTTGAGCAGCTATTTTAGTACCATAACGCTGGAGAAAGAAAGACTCCTAGGCATAACACATTTGACATAAATGTTTCTAGCAAACTCCTGGAAAGACCATTTTCTTGTCCTCAGATCTGTTCTTATCAGTGATTATAATAGTAAAGTCCAGGGTCTCATGAAAAATGTTGGGGAAGTGATAAAAAAACTCACTCTTAAGATTAAATTTTTTAAATACTTAGTTTCTTCTGTAAACTGTTCAGTTTACTATGTTGTAAACTTTTCTGCTTAAAGTTTGTCAGAGAACTTTTTTGTAGGTTTTTTGGGTTTTTTTTTAACCTTTAAAAATAGTCCAGGAAATTCTCTGGTGGACCAGTGGCTAAGACTTGGCACTTTTACTGTCATGGTCCAGGTTCAGTCCGTGGGTAGGGAACTAAGATCCTGCAAGCCATACAGCTTGCAGGATATAAGCCAGTTCCCTGGCAGTATAGTGGTTAAGACTCTGAACTTCTACTGCCAGGGGCACAGGTTCAATCCCTGGTCAGGGAAATATGATCCCACATGTTGTTCAGTGTGGCCAAAAAAACCCAAAAATAAAAACATTCTAGTGTGAGTATTTGTTGGCAGGTAAGGAGGAATCACAAGAGTAGTGTTTGGGGGATTAAACCCTGTTGGGGAAAAAAAAAAAAAACCTGTTGGAGAGTCTCTTTCTATTTCTGTTCATCTAATGCCAGAAGCCAAGCAAGAATTAGTAACCTACCCTCAGCCTCAGAAAACATCCATACCAGCACTATCAGAAAAACAAACCAGCCAACCCTCAAGGTCAGCTGATAAGGAATCTGAACCCAAGAAGAGGGAAGAAGGACAAGAACCACGCTTGGGACATCAAAAGAGAGAATCTGAAAGGTATCTGCCTCCTCGCCGGGAAGGACTCACCTTCCGAAGAGACCGAGAGAAGGAGCCGTGGTCTGGGGACACACGCCAGGATGGGGAAAGCAAAAGTAAGTGGTTTGTCAGGGCATGTACCAGTCTGTGACCACTACGGTTGGCGCATAGATGACCTGTACTGTGACTTCTTACACCCTAGTGAAACAGCTCAACCTGATTGTAGACGCTGTTGTTTTTTGCAGGCCTCACTGACAGAATCTATATCCTCCAACTAGCAAGTTGCTATTCAAATGCAGCAAGGCATAACTTTAGATTTCTAAGTATTGTGAAGAAAACTGTGAAGTATTTGACTAGCATTCTGTTATAGAATCACCCTTGGTGGAGCAGGGTAACATCTGCAGTATATTAAAAAAAAAATACACTCAAACTCTGAAGACTTCAAAATTGTAAACCTTTCTCTCTCTTTCCTTTCTCCTCTCCCATTTGTGCTTGGTTTGTTCAGCAATCATGCTAAAACGCATCTATCGTTCCACTCCACCTGAGGTGATAGTGGAAGTGCTGGAGCCCTACGTCCGCCTCACTACTGCCAACATCCGTATCATCAAGAACAGAACGGGCCACATGGGCCACACCTATGGCTTTATTGACCTGGACTCCCATGCAGTGAGTTGCAGTTGTCCATCACCCCCATCCCCACCCCCCAGGCCCCTCACCCTCTCCTTTCACCCCCGGATGGCCTAGGAACAGCTGGCTATGGAAACCTCAAGAAGGTTTGAAGGACTTGATCCGTAGAATTGTTGTGTGCCACTTGGTACCATAAGCCCTCTTAATTGTTTCCTTTGGCTCATTCAGGTGAAGTGACTGCCCCTGAAAGTTGAAACTCTGAGTGGCTTTCCAGGTCCACTTTTATCTGTTGGCATTTCAGCTTCCAGTTAAAATAAAGTGACAGCTTAGTCACTTGGAAAATCTGAGTACTGAACCTTTTCAAGATTTTGTTGAATTTTCTAATTTTTTTAAAATCATTTTGACCAATTACAGTTTTATGTTTGATGGTAACAGAACATTCGCCCTTTTTCCTCAGAGTGTTGCTTTAATAGATTCTTGTGCCTTGAATTTCTAGTTGTGGGACCCTTTTCCATGTAAGTAATGCAAGGGTAGCAATGAAAATTATGTTTTGCGCTCAAAAATCATAAGAGACTTTGTAAACTGGATCTGTTGCAGTGACAGTTGCAGACTAAAAGAAGAGGATTTGAACTTTTGAAATTGATGCTAAGAACTGATACCTACGTTGACCATTATTCTGATCAACACTTCATTAAGACTTGCTTATTTTTGCCAGCGTGCTCTTAGTATTATAATTATGATCAGGACATAATGTTTAATTAAGTTTTTTTGTTTTTTGAGAAGGAAAATCCATGTTCAGTTTTCTTTCATAGGACATGTACTTTTCTATCTTTGGGTTCAAATGCGTCTTTGTTTCCCCAGGAAGCTCTTCGAGTAGTGAAGATCTTGCAGAACCTTGATCCACCATTTAGCATTGCTGGGAAAATGGTAGCTGTAAACCTGGCCACTGGAAAACGAAGGTAAAGCAGAGGGATGGGACTCCTCTGTGTTACCCCACTCAGATGTTTGGGAGGCAGCTCTTACCTCTGACTGGAGATACAGATGGTAAAGCATGCTTTCCCAGTGTGAGTTGCTTCAGATACACGTATATATTTTCTTTTTCTGTAGCTTGCCTTGTTCTTTCTCTAGATTTTTTTTTTTTTTCCTTTTAAATAGTAGTACTGAGTACTTTAGTTTTTTCCCCTCTTAACTCTCTGGTATCTTCGGGCCCCAGGTGATGGTATAGCCTTGGGTGTACAAAAAAAAAATTGCAATATATCCTTGCTCCCTGGAATCCTAAGAAAATACTGTCTTGATTTTGTTCATACCCCCATAGTGCTGGGAGATCTTATTTTTTACTCCTTCACTCATCTTGACCCAGAAGTGGTAACTGGGAAGTAGCTGCATCAGAGAGGCAGGCATACGGGGAGGGGGCAGCTCTGTTCTGCTACCCTCAACTCAATTGCTGTTTTCCTCCAGCAGATAGTTATACAGGAGTCCCGCTGCTTCTCCCTTCAGGAGTCTGCATCACCAGACCTGCTGCTGTCTGGGTTGATTCCTTTCCGTGCCACCGGGGGAATAGAATTTCTCAGCAGATCTGTTGGGGTGGGCACCCCTCAAGTGGCTTTCGGTAGCAGGCTCAAGACTTGTTGTGTTGTTTGTTGCAGAAATGATTCTGGGGACCATTCTGACCATATGCACTACTATCAGGTAGGCTCCAGCAGTTGAGGGGTTTTTTGTTAAGATCCTCAAGTGACTGAAAAAGTGATCTTCACTTCTCTCTAACGGGTGATTGTTAAGGTAAATGGCTATCCGAAGGTCCATAATTTTAACTTGTTTTTCTGTGATAGGGTAAAAAATATTTCCGAGATAGGCGGGGAGGTGGCAGAAATTCAGACTGGTCTTCCGATGTAAATCGACAAGGACAACAGTGTGAGTGACCTTTGTCTTATTTCTATTGTTCTTTCTGGTTTGATTGCCCATTAATTGAAATCTTGATGGTCACAAAGTTGGCAAGAGACAAGGGGTGCTCACTCAGAGAGCTTCATCTATAGGTTTTTGGTTGGCCAGCCTCCTTCTTAGATTGTTCTTGACAAGTCCCCAGCAAGGCTTCTTTGGACAGGGGCTAACACTGGCTCTGGTTTTATTCCCTCTAGCTTCATCTGACTGCTATATATATGATTCTGCTACTGGCTACTATTATGACCCCTTGGCAGGAACTTATTATGACCCCAATACACAGGTAAGTTTGGGGCTTTGTTATTTTGTAAATGATTCTTTTTTATTTATTTTTATTTTTTAAAGATTTATTTATTTATTTTTGACTGTGCTGGGTCTTTGTTGTTGCACGGGCTTTTCTCTAGTTGTGGTGGGTGGGGACTACACTTTATTGCAGCAAGTGGGCTTCTCTCATTGCAGCGGCTTCTCTTGTTGCCGAGCGTAGGCTCTAGGCATGGGGCTTCAGCAGTTGCGGCTCACAGGCTGTAGATCATGGGCTTAGTAGTTGTGGCGCATGGATTTAGTTGCTCCGCAGCATGTGGGAATCTTCTTAAGCCAAGAATTGAACCCTTGTCCCCTACATTGGCAGGCAGGTTCTTAACTACTGGACCACAAGGGAAGTCCTTATTTTGGTGTTTTGTTTTTGTGGTTTTTTTGGTATTTTTAAATGTCCAGGTTTTATAGTGAGTTATAATTGGTGGATTTTACTGTTAACTGTTGTGTATATAGAAAATCAATGCCTTGTGACATTATAGGCGAGAACAGTGCTGCTCTTGGGAAAAATGGACACTGAGTGGTCTGGCTATTTCTTGACCCCTGGAGTGGGTTTTTAGGTTGTTTGTTATGTTCTTCTCTTAGGCAAGAGGGAGAAAGCTGTTTCTTTCCCTCAGAAGAGAGCTGTGCTCTTTAGACCTGGAATTTCTGGGAAGGTGAAATGTTTTACAGACTTAACTGTTTTGCAGCAAGAAGTCTATGTACCCCAGGATCCTGGGTCCCCTGAGGAAGAAGATATCAAAGAGAAGAAACCCAGTAGTCAAGGAAAGTCAAGTAGCAAGAAGGAAACGTCTAAACGAGATAGCAAGGATAAAAAAGACCGAGGAGTCACGAGGGTAAGAGGTCTTGTGAATCCTGCTTCCTTTTCACCACAGTACACACTATATATTTTTCTAGATAGAATTGTAGTAAAGGCTGAAGGAGATAATGTATATAAATGCACCATCTGGTGCCTGACATATAGTAATCACTCAATATATACTAAATGGGATGTGTTTAAAGCTTTTTTTATTTTGGAATCACTATTGTAATATCACAGATATTTCACAAATTAAGAGGTTTGGAAAATCAGACTCATTTCAACAGGTGAACTCTAAACCTAGCTTTTATGAGTATCATATAAAAATTACCTGGGATTTTGATCAGTTTCAGGAAAATGCCAGCGAGGGGACAGCTCCCCCAGAAGATGTATTTAAGAAGCCTCTGCCTCCCACTGTAAAGAAGGAAGAGAGTCCTCCACCAGTAAGGCTAAGCTGATGTGCTGGGCTAGGGCTGGGGCTGATTGCGAATGGGAAAGAAAATTCAAAGGTTGATGACTCACTTCGGTATTGGTCCTGTAGTTCTCTGTGTCTCATAGACAGGGATTCCTCTTGAGTATAAAAATGAGGTAAATTTTCCTGTCTGTTAATAGGAATGTTCCTTGGTACTCAGAGGCCATTATCTGTCCTTTTTCTCTCTACCTTGTGCCGTTTCTACCAGACCAGAGAATGCCAGCCATTTTTAAGTTAGAATCTTGATTTTGTTAATTCTTTTCTTCTAAATGACCAAGGAAACATATTTTCCTGGCCCTAATTTTTCTACTTTTTGATGCTGCATGAAAACATCTTAAATGTCAAGTGCATGCATACATCATTTTTATCGTTTGCCTGTCAGAGTGAACAAGGCTAACATTGGTACCCTTTTTTAGATGCCTTAAAAGTGATAGTCTCGAGGTAATCAAAAGTTATTTTGATGCTATGCCAATGATCATGCATCATTTTTAACATTTTCTATAAACTCATGATAAATACTTTTTGCTGCTCTACATCGTTGATTCAGTTCACTGTAATATCTATCCTAACCATGCCTTTGTCTTTACCTTATTCAGGAGCTGGATCTGTTTACCTGGGTGTTTATCCTTCAGTTAGTTTTAGTCCATCTCCTAAATCTCTCTTGCTATAAGGGGTTTCTGTGGCCTGGATGAAAGTTGTCTTTTCTCCATGGGTTACAATAACTTGGAAATGGCTGCTATCTCTGCCTCTTTAAAAGTAACTTGTAACTTTTAAACTCTTTCTTTGAGGGCTATGTGAGTTTCCATTTCTCTTCCTTCTCATCACTCTTCTGTTGCTAGCATCACTTCTAAGGGAACCTTTCTGGATTATCTCAGTGGACAAGGAGAAAAATCAAGCTCAAGCCATGTTGCTTCCATCTGGAAAATGAGCAGTGTGGTCAATGGGCCTGTTTTGAACCCAGTTCATTATCCAAACCAAAAGAGAAGAAATGAGATGCCCATATCAGAATATCTAGAAAACAGGCCCCAAATACAGGTTGAGGTTGTATTAATCCCTGGCCTTCTCCTTCTAGCCTAAGGTAGTAAACCCTCTGATCGGCCTCCTGGGTGAATATGGAGGAGACAGTGACTATGAGGAGGAAGAGGAGGAGGAGCAGACCCCTCCTCCACAGCCCCGCACAGCACAGCCCCCCCAGCGGGAGGAGCTAACCAAGAAGGAGAATGAAGAAGACAAACTCACTGACTGGAATAAACTGGCTTGCCTGCTCTGCAGAAGGCAGTTCCCCAACAAAGAAGTTTTAATCAAACACCAGCAGCTTTCAGATCTGCACAAGGTATTAGGGAACAGGCCCTGACCTGAACTTTGACTGTCATTGTTGAGCATTACAGTAAATAAAGAGGCTTATGCTGTCCTTCTCACCCTGTCTCTTCCCCAGCTTCTGTAATTAAATCAGTCTAACTGAAAAATGAGTTGTTTTTCCACCTTTTTGTTCATGAGTCGCTCTGCATTAAGACTGTGCCCAGCTTCAGGAAAATTCAGTGTGTAGACACAAGGCAAGCAGATTGGCTGGAGTTGAGGCATCAAGGATGGAGGCTGTGCTGAAGTCAGGAGGAGCAGGGGTCATGGAAAAGGACACTCACTTGCTGGGTTTCTCATCTTAGCTCTACTATTAACCTCACAGTTGGTCTTCAGATAAAGCCCTTTACTTCTCTGATACTTGGTGGCTTTATCTGTTTCCATCTAGCTCTGACAGGGTGCAGTTTTCTTGAAAGGTGACTCACATTCTGCCGTATCTTCATGTAGGCACCTTAAGTTTCTCATGTATTCCAGAGGGCATTGTGTAGTGAAGCCATGCATGAGGAGTGGGGTACCCTCAAGGAGAACGGGACTCTCAGAGCAGCCTGTTGTTTTGTGTCCTTGGAGTTCCTTTTCAGGTTTCTCTCTGGGCTTGAAAGAGTGAGTAGAGTCTGAGGATGGCTGGTGGTGGTGGTGGTAGACAGAGCATGTGGGTATCTGGTTTTCTTCAGTGGTGTCTTCTACATTTCAGGGAGAAGTAGGATAAAATTCTGCCTTGTGCCACAGTATAGAACTAATCTATGTGTAAGAACATGGCTTCCCATTGGTGAGGTTAATGCAAGATTTAGGGGTTGCTACTTGTGTAATACAGTGATCACTTAGGAGAGTTGGCCAGCAAAAGGAGCCACAGTCCTAACACAGCTATCAGAAAAGGCCTAGAGGCATTGCTCGGACCACTCCTTTTGTAGACCTACACTCAAAGAGCTTCTTCTCTTCTCAGCAAAACCTGGAAATCCACCGGAAGATAAAACAGTCTGAGCAGGAGTTAGCCTATCTGGAGAGGAGAGAACGGGAGGTAAGATTTGGTGGCATGTTAGTCCCTTGACCCCAGCTCTTTTAGTTTTCTGGTGTAACACATGCAGGCTGTGCTGACTTAAAGAACGAAGAAGCCCCAAAAGATGGTATGTACATTTCTCAAAACTCGTCAAACTACATTAAAGTGGTTGGATTTTTTATTTATAAGTTGTACTTTAATAAAATTGGTTTTTCAAAAGTAACATTAGGGTCTCTGGGTAGGTCAAATAACACTCCTCTTTCTTGCCCAGCTTTTAAAATCAATGAAGGAAGGTTGGCTCGAGCTGCTGAAATAGCATCTTTTACGGTTCAAAGCCAAGTTGGAGGAAGTAGCTTAGTCTGAGAGCCTAACGGACTTCCTATTTAGACCACACAATTAGGTGGACTCACTTAGGCAACTACAGGCTTTACCGGCCTATGACGGGTCTTATGTGATTGTTAAGAATCCATCTATGGAGGCTATCTTTTCCTCAGAAGAGGGAAAGATAACCTATTCTTCCCAAATTTACCAGTTAAGAGAAGCCACTACTTTCTCACGAATGTTTAAAGTGAGAGATTCCAGGAGTTACCAGTTGAATTCCCTTCTCGTTATAAGAAATACCCAGAATAAAGTGAAGCTTTCCCACTCCCCTACCCCCTCAGATGGTAATCTCAGACCTGTTCTTCTCCTTACCAACAGGGAAGGTTTAAAGAAAGAGGAAATGATCGCAGGGAAAAGCTCCAGTCTTTGGATTCTCCAGAAAGGAAACGCATTAAATACTCCAGGGAAACTGACAGGTAAACTAGAAACTCTTCACTCAGCCTACACCTCAAGGCCTAATGATCTCTTTCTCTGACTTGCAGCCTTTTTGTAATCTCAGAGAGTGAGGTTATCGGGAGCAGGTTCTGTCTGAATTCTTGAGCATGATGTTCACCCCAGCCTTTTGACCACCTGTCTTAACACAGGCAGTATATATGTTTGCATGAAAGAATCATTGGCTGGAGAAGGAAATGGCAACCCACTCCAGTATTCTTGCCTGGAAAATCCCATGGACAGAGGGACCTGGTAGGCTATAGTCCATGGGGTCGCAAAGAGTTGGACATGACTGAGCGACTTCACTTTCTTTTCTTTTCTTTCCCTTTCAAGCTTCCAGATTTAACTGGAGAAATACTCATGCTATGTCAGTCTCGGAATTACATTTTTAGAATAAAAATACTTTTCATGCACTTTAAAAAAAAAAAGAAAGAATCATTGGCTGCTTAGCTGCTCAAAAACAGGGCTGGAGTGGCTGTAGTTGGGGACCCTTTCTCTTCTAATCAGTAATGCTGTATCTCTTTATTAACCTGATAAGAATGTCACACTCTTGGACTTTTTCTACAGGGAACCTCCATTCTCTCGTGTATGTGTGTTAGTCGCTCAGTCATGTCCGACTCTTTGCAACCCCATGGACTGTAGCCAGTCAGATTCCTCTGTCTATGGAATTATCCAGACAAGAAAACTGGAATGGGTTGCCACATAAGTGCTGAATAAGTGGTTTTTTGGTGATATATAATCTGTAGCTTCTTATGCTTGTTTATGGTCAGAGAGCTCCCAAGTTTTGAGTCCAGAGTTATAAAATTTTCTGATAGCCCACTGTGTACGGATACTGCACCGAGTGCAAGGAATATTCAGGGGGATAAGATAAATATTATCTTTGGCTGTCTGAACACAGAATAAGGAAGGCTTCGGTGATACTTTGTCTCATAGGGCAGACACAGAAATCCGGTGAGGAAGGGGAGGGCATTTCAGTTGCAGGGAACTGCATGTTTCATGGATGAAAGAGAGAGGTCGTGATGCATTTGAGAAGTTGTACATAGCCTGATGGGCTGGATACTGGGAAAATGTGGTTGAGTGACAAGGAGATGAAGCTGTCTCAGTCCAGTTCATGAAGTTCATGGTCTTTGAACACCTTACTAAGGTTTTGTCTTAGGGCACTAGGAGGTTATGGAATGATTTTAAGTAGGGTGTTGATCTAGTGAAGTTTGAGCAGGTCTCTTCATTGGTAAGTGAAAGAACTAGTAGCCAGGATAGAATATGCCTCTGGGGGAAAAGGTCATGACTTAGCATGATGTTCATGGCTTTTCATAGTCTGGCTCAAGCAACCTTTGGTCAACTCCTACCACTCCTCTTACGGACAGATTGTATTCTTTCACTTCTCCATGCTTGTGTCCTCCTTTCCTCCCATGCTTTTTCTAGCTCACAAGCTCATTGTTCATCGAGAACCATTTCAGGTATACCCTTTTGTTAGAATTCCTCATTTGTGATTTTTTATTTCCATAATAGATATCTACTGCTGCCACATCCATGGCTGAGCTCTTCAATGTGCTATAAGCATCTGTTAACATACTATGCATCTTACATCCTTCCCCATGAACAGGGTCAGGTCTTAGTTTCTGTATCCCCAGGACAAAGCTGGTTTCATAGAGAGCAGGCACTGAAAGAGACTGTGTAATACTCTTTTTTTTTTAACTGTTTAATATTCTTAAGAGGAGGCATATCTGAATCAAGAGGACAGAAGTTTTTATTGGGCTCACAAGCATATCACTGGTGTCTTAGTATGTATGCTTCTTTTGCAGCGATCGTAAGCCTGTTGGTAAAGAAGGCGTCGACAGTAGCAGCAAAGGAGGCTATGTCCAACAGGCCACTGGCTGGAGGAAGGGGGCAGGCCTCGGATATGGCCATCCAGGATTGGGTTCGGCGGAGGAGGTGAAATGGTTTCCATCTTGTTAGTGGTGTCATGAACCTGGCGTATACTTAGCTTCCTCTCATTCTGTGGCCCACAACTATGTCCCAGCCTATTAGATGGGCTTTCTTCACCACTGGTAAAGAACTTGAGAGCTGAGAAGCCTGTCAGTCTTTTTTTTTTTTTCACCTGTCAGTCTTGATTACTAAGTTATAGCTAGGCATGCTAGGCTCTTTGCAGTTTGATTGGTGATGGGAAGCAGAGAGAGAAGTTGGAATGGGGCTCATTTTACTGTTACAAAGAGTAAGACATGGGGCAGTGTGGGAATTAGGCCGTTTGAGAGTGAAGAATAATTTGGTGAAAAGAACCAGGGAACCAGTAATAAAAGGTACAAAGGCATCTCAGAGAGGAATTGTCATCAGAGGTTTTTGATGGCTAAAATTTGAGAAGCATGATGTTAGTCCTGGTTCTCATGAAGGGCCTCACCCCTTATTTTCAGGAAAAGAAAACAGAAAAGGTGATACATGGGAATAGTGCCCATTTTGTGTTGTCTTAGTCCCCGTTTGAAAATGTCGAGTATAAGAGGTTGGCTTCTCATATTTCTGGTGTTGAATCCTGAAGTCATGGTGTCACCATCCTTCTTATTCATCTTGAGTGTTTATTAATTAAGCATTCTTTAAAAATTCTCCTGTATCTTGCTCTCCTTACTAGTCCAGAAATGTTAAAGGCCAGCCCTGAAGCTAATTAATTTACAGAGCCCACTTCAATGTTTGTCTTTGTTCTACAGACTGAAAGTCGGATGAGGGGTCCCAATGTGGGAGCTCCAGGAAGAACCAGCAAGAGACAGTCCAATGAGACTTACCGAGATGCTGTGCGAAGAGTCATGTTTGCTCGGTATAAAGAACTCGATTAAAAAGTGGAGACAAGTCCCATGGGACACAACCTCTTTCTTGTTTTGTTTGTCCGTCTCTCTTTTTGTTTTGTTACTGTTCTTGCTGCTAGAACTTTTTTAAATAAACTTTTTTTCAATGTGATTTTTTTTTTTGGGGGGAGGGTGGTTAAATTTTTCTCCCAGAGATGGGTGGGGGTTGGGGCTAATGGTAGGAGGGAGAGAATCCCTTGATGTGAGCCCATTTGAGGTGATGCTGAAATGGCAGCAAGGGCTTTAGTGAGCCCTGGAACACTGCCTACTGTCAGTGTGCGAGGACTGGTTGCAGGGACCTTTGAAAACTGGCTTGTGTGAATACTGTCAGATCTAATCTAATTAATGAAAACAGCATCTCATTATTGTAACTGCTAAGGCTGAACCTATTTCCATATGTAGGTTTATTACTCATTAGACCTTTAGAAGTGCTCGTCTGACTTTGTTGGTGGTCGGGGAAGTGTTGTGACACCTCTTTTTCTGAGTGTCTGCTGGGTGTTCAGTGCTTCACACATTGTGATCACCACAGCAAGCTGGCATAATAGCAGTTGTTATGCCAACATAATAGAAATTATGCCACTTCTCTCCAGCCACTGCCCCAGCTTCTCCTTCCCTCCATGGTTAGGATTCTCCAAAGAAGTGTCTGCCCTCTTTCAAATCTTTCTTTATTGCCCACCACATCACTCATACCATTTCACAGAATTTGCTTCCAAAGGAAAGGGTTTTTTGAAAAATTCTTTGTAGTTAAAAGGACTACTATATCTTGCAAACCTATTAAAACTTAGAAATAATTTCTCAAGGGAGCATATGGTACTAAGAATTGCACTTCTCAGCTATCTCAGGGGAAGAATGTTTCTTAGGAAGAGAATTGCATGTTTGAAGGAACATCTTGATTGTATAAGGTAGGGGTTTGTAAACTTCTCTGTAACAAGCCAGAGAGTCCGTGTTTTAGTCTTTATATTATAGGTCATAGGATTTCTATTTCAACTAACTCAGCTCTACTATAGTAAGAAAGCAGCCACAGGCAATACATAAACAAGTGATTCTGGCTGTGGTCCAATAAAACTTTATTTACAAAAACAGGTCACAAGCCAGAATTGGCCCAGGGCTTGTGGTTTTTGCCAACCTTTGGTCAAACAACAGTCTACATACATAAGGGAGAACCAAGGAGGGTTCTATTTAAAATAAAAAACACACAAAAAAACTGAGTAGGGGTATTGGCATTTTTGGACAGGATGAGCAGGGAGGAGTATACCAAGGAATAAACATTTCTAGCAACAGTAAATGTGAATTTAAATAGTTTGCCATGCTGTGTCCAAGAATAAACCCTTTCTCTTAATCTTTTGACCCCTTCGAAAAAGAAGACAAACAGGAGTACATTGGCTTCAGGATCAAGAGCCCCTAGTTCTGGGCTTGCTACCACTAGGGCAGCATTTTAGAAGAAGGGCCATTTGAATCTTTCAGCCCTAGACAGATGTACTCCAAGACCTCTTCTGGTCTGATAGTCACAAATGCATCTGTGGTATGTATCATTACTCTCTGTCCAACCTTCGTTGAGTAGGTCAAAACACTTTTTGGAAGCTGGTCCAAGCTTTTCCTGAACTAGTCAGACTAAGTTTTCCTTCTAACTTGGTGTCATCCTGTTGGATGCTACATATAGATACATACATACATATGAAAATGTAGAAAAATCTATGTGTGTAGGCAGTACTATGGTCTGAATGCTTGTGTTCCCCACCACCACCACTATCACCTAAACACCAAAGGTGATAGTACTGCTAGGTGAAGACTTTGGGAAGTAATTAGGCCATGAAGGTGGAGCTATCAGCTGTCATAATGGGATTAGTGCTCTTATAAAAGAAATTGCACAGAAGTCACCATATGAAGATACAAGAATTTTGCAGCCTAGAAGAGGGCTGTCACCCAAACCTGCTGGAACCTTGATCCTGGACTTCCCAGCCTCCACAACAGTAAGAAAAAAGTTTTCTGTTGTTTACAACTTAACCATTCTGTGGCATTTTGTTATAGCAGCTGGAACAAAAGGTAGAGAATAGATAGGGAAGCAGGTAGGGAGGTAGATAGATAGGAAGATAGAGCCAGGAGAAGAGAGAGAAAGAAAAGTTATCCATTCTGAAATCCAGTGATTTCTACCTTTCCATCTATTCTCCTGGGCTGTTTGGGGTTTTTTTTTCTTCTTTTAAATATGGAACGCTTCACAGATTTGTGTGTCATCCTTGTGCAAGGGCCATGCTAATCTTTATTGTCCCAATTTTAGTATATGTGCTGCCAAAGTGAGCCTTGTTTTTAATTACCCAAAGAGTTTCCAGTGTCAGTCACTTAATGTCCTTGAAGTTGAAGGATAAGCCTTAGTTAAAACATGTTTTTCCAGGAAAAAGATTTCCTAGTGTATCTGAAGCTTCTGGTTTGAAATCTCTTTTGCCATCCTTCTACTTACCCTTGAAAGATTTCTTCTTACCCAGAAAGAGCAGAGTATAAGTTTGGTTTTCCATAACTAATATCTTCCTCTGCCTCGTTATGGTCTAGTTTTTCAATCTGTATATGTGACTTTAAAAATCAGTTCCCTTAAACTATCTATAAAGAATGCCAGTGGGCAAGTTATGTTAATTGGATACATAGGTATACCACCATTTGACTGATGAGTCAGGGACCAAATATCTCTCGAATTGCTGAAGCATCTCTGCTTCTTTCTGCTGCAAATGTTGCACTTGAAATTTTGGTAATGGATTCATTTGTTCACTCAAATATTTATTAGTGTAAACTATGTGCCTGGCAGCAGCAGAAGCACTGGGGGATATAGTAGTGAACTAAACAGAGAAAAGTCCCCACCCTTCTGGAGTTTACATTCTAGTGGATGAAAGCATGGACTCAAACCAAATTTACTAATTCAAATCCCAGTTACACCACTATAGTGTGGAACCCACAGTGTGACCTTTTAATGTGACCTACTGTCTCTAAAACAAGGACAGTGATAATGGTTTTGACTAGGAGAACAGCATTTGAGATAGCTGTTTAAAGGTAGAGTCAACAGAATTTGCTGACAGATTTGAGTGCAAGGAAAAAAAGTCATGGATGGCTCCCAGGCTGTGTTAATTTTGATATGTCTTCCCAGTGGCTCAGTGGTAAAGAATCCACCTGTAATGCAGGAGACACAGGTAGGCATGGGTTCGATCCCTGGGTCAGGAACATCCCCTGGAAGAAGAGATGGCAACCTACTCCAGTATTGTCTGGAAAATCCAGAGGAACCTAGCAGACTACAGTCCTTGGGGTTGCAAAAACTCACACATGACTGAACACAGCATACCACATTAGACAGACAATTAGTAACTATTAAATTGTTCAATTGCTCAGTTGTCTCGGACTCTTGTGATCCCATGGACTGCAGCATGCCAGGCCTCCCAGGCCTTCACTATATCCCGGAGTTTGCTCAAACTCATGTCTATTGAGTCGATGGTGCCGTTCAACTGTTCTATTAACCCTGGAAGGTAACTTTCCCGTGTCCATGCCTTAGACTGAAGATTATCAATAAGATAATATTCTGAAGACTGCCTTTAAGAATCCTCTGAATTACCAGAAACCTCAATTTTCTTACTTGCAAAATGGGTTTAACAGTCATCTCAAAAGGTTATGAACATGGAAATAGATATTTGTGAAGCATGCAGCCCAATAATAAAATCTAGCGTTCCATAATGCAAAAGGTGATCAACCTGCGTTCCTTCTACTAAAGCCATATTAAATGTGTTGGTTTACATCACGTCAGTGAAAACAAACTGTACTAAGGCCCATGGAGCAAAGGCAAATAATTACTATGCTTAATAAAGATAAAAGGTCTAATCCGGATCTGGAAAAGGTAGACAAGGCCGAGGTTTTGAAGAAACCTTTCTTCAAAACACGTAGGAAATTGACACAGGCCGTAGTTAAGTGACATGCTGCCCTAGCGACCACAGTTCCCAGCAGCCCTCGCGCAGCCAGACACCTTCGCGGACTGGCGGCCTCCTCAGGAAACGTGTGGTGGGGGGAGGGGATAGGCGCGAGGTACTGTGGGTAGGAGACGGCCATCGGCGGAGGCGCCATTTTGTGAACCGGGCGTACCCTGTTGGAATTCCTTGGCATAAACTGCTGCTGCTGCTACTTCCGTCCTTCCTGGGGGTAAGTGCGGCGGCCGCCCGTAATGACTGGCGGTTGTTTCTGCTGTGGCAGGCCCTGTAGAGCCTCCCTGTCAGCCGCACGCTGCGGCCCTTCAGCCCCAGCGGGATCTCGAAGGGCTACCCGAGGCATTGGAGGGCCGCGCCCCTCCTCTCCACCAGCGCTGTCAGCTTTCAGAGAGCGTTCTCCCGGCCAGCCCGAGGCCCTCTTCTCTTGGAGCTGTGAGTGCGCCCCTCCCGGGATGTGTCTCCAACTCCCAGGCCAAGTTGAGCAAGGAGTCGTTGTCTGTCCCTCAGATACTTCTCAGGGGCGCCCTGACAGTCTCTAGCCGCCATAGCTCTGCAGGTTCGCCTGAATCAACTCTCCGGAAAGCTGTTCGGTGAAGGGTGATCTGGGGCTGGGAACCCCTTGGGGGTCGGGAGGCGCAAGTGCACGCAGGAAGAGAAAGTCGGATGCCTGAGTCGGTCGCGCAGTCCGTGGCGCCGCCATCTCGTCCGCGCCTCCCCACGGAGGTGGGTCTGGGCAGTGCCCAGGCGTTGTGAGGGGCTGCAGCAGGGATTCTTTCCAGGGCCTTGTTCCTCCCTGGTGGTTCTGTTCCCTGTATTAATTCACATGTTCGTTGAGCGGCTGCCTAGAACAGGCGCCAGGGAGGGCTGTAACTAGTTTCTCGGACCTCGCAAGCATTGAGGGCCGTCTAGCTGTGTGATGTTTTACCACCGTCAGTGCGCAGCGGGGCCAGGCTGGCTGCCTCAGGGACCTGTGGTGATTATTGTTACCTTGGAATTAAGTCGTACGGAAGTTTACTCTTGCTAATATAACTTTGGATCTGCCGTTGCGTTTTAAACGGAGTCGATTTTCAGTTAGCCCAGTATCGGCTTTCTGAAAGGTTTTAAATTTTTCATGAGTAATTTTTGAATTTCGTTTAGCTCCTTGTATTAATAAAGACAC